TTACCTCATCATTCCTCCATAATTTTGTTGGAAACGCCTTTGTTGGGCTCTAGTCATCTCGTTGAAGGGTATCGCCTTTCCTGCATTATACTGGAACGAATGCCATACATTTGGTTGGCGAGGTTGCGGCCTGAATGTTCTTCCATTATTTACTAGCCTGAACTGCCCTCTACCAGGCTGAGCGTTTGGGAAGAAAGTAGGGCGATGGGGATGCTACCATATCCCTGATTTCTCCATATTCCCACTCACTTCTCTTTTACATCTTGCACACAAGACGTCTTCATCCTTTTTTGGCTCCTTCCTTTTAATACGCTCAAAGACACTGGGATGTGGTCCAGGGTCTTCTTCTCCATCATCTATAACCAACTTGAATTTTGACAATTTTTTTTTCAAACCAGACGTCACCATATTCACTCCAAGTGGCTGTGGAAAAGGATTTTCATCCACTGCCATCTTCTTCTTATTATCGAACGTAATTCGTCCTGATTCAATGACATCCTGTAACACATGGCGAAAAACCAAGCAATTGTTAATCAAATGTGACCATGCATTGTGCCACTTACAATATTTTTTACCCTTAATTTGTCCGGGGCTTGACAATTTATGCTTATCGATCAGCTTTATCTGCTTATCCTTATATAATTTATCAAATATAAGGTCAGCTTTGGTTACATAGAACGAGAACGTTCTAGCTTTTATGTTTTCATCTGTCATAAGCTCATCCTTGCCCGATGGTCTAGGCTTAGCCATTATAGGACAAGTATACGTGTCTCATTTGACTAATTCGGCCAAACACATTTCGGTCTGATCGTACGACTCGTTATTGATGGTATGAACATCAAATTTTGGGTCTCTATAATAAGTCCCCTTGCTAGAATTTTTTATCTGCTCTTCTTCTCTTATCAATCGTTCATACCTAATCACGTTCGCACTCAATTGGAAAAGGTCAGGAAATTCCTTGTCTTGGAATTTCTTTTTCAAATCAAAGCTCAAACAACCTTGAACAATTTTGACAAACTCCTTTTCGGGCGAAGGTACAAAACATTTACTTCTTGCTGTCTTGAACCTTTGGAGAAAACCTTCTTCCCATTCGTTTGGCATTTGACGTAGATTCGCCAAATCAGCCAAAGTAACTTCAGACTCAGTCTTATAAAACTGAGCGTGGAATAATTGTTCCAATTGTTGCCATGTTTGAGCAGAGTTCGCTGGCAAATTGATGAACCAGAAGAAAGCTACTCCTGTTAACGAACTAGGGAAAAGCCTCATTTTATGATAATCAGTTACATCACCACTTTGCAGTGTGAATCGCCCTATGTGTTCTAGAGTAGACACCTCCCCTAAACCGGTAAACAGTGAGAATTCTGGCACGTTATATCCTCTAGACCATGGATATGCTTGGTCTACCCAATCAGGATATGACTTTGTGTAAGTCGGCCTAATGACAGGACGTACCCCAAAAGTCATCTGATCCTGTATGATTTCCATAATTTGATTCCTCAACATGACGTTGGGGTCATATGGAATTTCTATAGGTTGGTTAACCGGTTGATTTGTTTGAGGCCTGATGTTTGGTCCTTGATTGGTAACAAAGTTACCATGATTTGAGCCGTTGTTACTATTAGCCTGAACATTTATTCCCTCATTAACACGTGGGGTATTCTGCCCATTATTTAGGATATTATCTCTTACATTTGAATTACTCCCCAAGTTAGGCGTACTACTACCATTATTCTAATTTGGCATTACACCATCCCCCTGGTTTGAAGTAGAGGGACCGAAAGGTGGTTCTACCCCTTGATTTGGATTTAGGATTGGGGGATTATGTCTCACAATTGTCCTAGTTTGAAAGTGGTTTGCAAGAGGCATAACTGGTTGACAAATTTGGCCTACTAACTTATTCATTATTTCGTTCAAAGTATTCAGTTGTTTGGCCATGTTGTCATAATGTGCATTTCCATTCTGGGTAAATCTTTCCATATTATGAATATTTCGAAGATTTACCTGTTCAACGACATCTTGTGTGAGTTCTCCAAGTAGTGCACGCATAGTTTGAGGACTCAACTCTGTCATTGATTCGTAACGACTGTTACTGCTCTGATTCTGTCCATCTGTTCGTGGAGAGCTATGCTGCTCCTCATATCGCTCGATCACAGACTGGACTCCTCCCTGACTTGCTGTTTCCTTATCGGATCTCTGAGGCATATTGTTTCACTTTTTGTATCTTCAACACCAAACACCACTGTTCCACTGGGCGTGCCAAATTGTTTCGCGCGGGTTAGTCGCTAACAATTAAAAGGGATCAGACAATTGTGTAAGGGACAAACCTCTTGAGATAAAGTCCCAAAAAGGGGTGTTTTTATTGGCGATGACTTTACAATTGGAAAAATAAAATCGAATGCCTCCAAGGGGCGCAAGCACACGAGTTACTGAAAAGAAGTGTTTAAATCTAAACTAAGAAATTGAAAGTTACATATTCTCTGTTTGAGAGTGTTTGATTCGGGGTCCTTTGCTTTATGTCTTTTCTTTCTTTTATACTCTCTGAATGATCTCTTCGTGATCAACCACTTAAAAACTGCTTGATCGCTCTATAACTGTCCACTTTCTTCATAGTGGCCAACTTGTCATGGAACTGCCTTCTCTAACTGTTACCATTACTTTTTGTCGTTCAACAATCTTCAATTGAATTCCTTGAATCGTGGAACGTGATAGGGTTACTCAATAACTGCTTCATTAACCGCACTTTTGGGTAACTATAACATCTTATATTTGCTAAGATCCTGGGCGACTCGAAAGTTTGGGCGAGAACAGGGTCACAGCTCTGGGCGACTGCATGGCAATCCATTCGCTCAAATCTTGGGCGACTTGCAAGCTTGGACGATGGTATTACCGCGTTCATGGGCTTCCCTATTTGGGCCTTTATCCTGAATATCCTGATTGGACCGTTCTTTGGGCTATCTGATTTGGGGATCCTCCAATTGGACTTCATTCCTTGGGTTATTCGATTTGGGCCGAACTTTTTGTGTGTCAACACAAACAAATGGTCATTTATTCAAAAAGTTTTTTATTTCATCACGATAGCTCAATGTAGAGCACGCTTGGTAAGGTTTCTGTTTTTATTTATATTTCTTGTAAAAGAGTTTCTCGAAGAAGCTATATTAGGTGCTTGTTAGACATGACTTTTACCTTTGATTTTGCTTTCTATAGAAGAGCTTTTGGATAAAATTACCTAAATTTTTTTGTTTAGAAATTAATTTTTAAAAGTTTTCTATTTCAGAAATGTTGTTAGAGGAAGTCACATTAAACAACTTTTTTTTTTTTTAAAGTTCTTTTAACTAGAAGAAATATTTTCATAAAATTAGTCAAACAAGAACAAAATAACTTTTGAATCTTTAAAACTCCCTTTGTTATCTGAAAGCTCTTCTAACAAGATGAAATACTTTTGGAAAACTATCAAAACAAATTCAAAAGTCACTTTTGAATTTTTAAAAGGCTTGTCAAGCAGGCTTGTATACTAATTGATGAGGGTGAATTACATTCCCATGAAACCAACATAAACCCCTGTTGGGTGGGATTAAGATTAATATTTTGGGAAGTGCTAAATGTACATAATTGTTTATTTAATAGTATCCATAATTACACGTGGCATTGGATCCAACCTTTAATTCAAATCTCACACTTGCACATCAACAATCGGATGATTGCCACATCACATTATGAACACCATTATGTGCAATAATTAAATAGAATTTTCCTAATATTTTATTTTAAGTCAAATCAACAATTAGTTGTAATTACATATTTCATGATATTCACAACTTTTTAATTATAAATTTCATCAATTTTTATCAAAACTTACAAAAATTATGATTTAAATCCTACTAAACAAGGGCTAAATGTGCGTTGAAGTATTGGAATAGAGAAACTTGTAAAGATAATCTGATGAATACTTTTAATGCATTTCAACAAACTGATTCTTGTTATTCCTATGATTGGCATCCATTTTCCGTAAGCTAGATTAGGTAGCAGACTAGCAGTTATTAGTCACCACTTTGGTTATTCTTGTATTCAATAATAATTATTAATTAACCGAATCTTATTAATAATTATTAATTAACCGAATCTTATAATTTCCTCCTTAATATCCGGGGATTATGATAATCAACTCTCATGGGCTTTGCTTGACGGTGCAATATCACATGGTTATGAATTATTATACAAACTGCGTGGTGGTGGAGTGGGGTCAACAAAGGCATCTAACTGAATGACACCAAATTTACAGGTTTATTTCATGGTAATCACTCAATTTTGATCTATTTCAATTGGACAATGTAACTATCATTTCGTGTATTTTCGTAACATTTCATGCATACAAATTGGTAAAGTTTCGTGTATATTGGCAAATTTATGGGTTTTAATTCATTCGTTCATGTTTTGTTGGCAAAAAATTATTGATTTAACGTTATATGAGTACCATGTGATACATTGACCTCGTGAAACTTGCCATTAAGCCCATATTTGGTTTACTTAAAAATCAATTTTTTAGTAGATTGAAATGTGTAGCTAAATAGTCGATAAAAGTTGTGAATTTCATGAGTTTTAGAAAATGATGGCCAAACAGGACCTAATCTTTGTCTGTTACCGATGAAATGATCAAACTGCAACAAACAATGTAAATTAGGTGACTAAATTAAAACAAATGGAAGCTAAGTTACCAACGTGAAACGAAGTTTCAAATTCAGTGTTCTTCAACTAATTTTCCATATAGATAATAACCACACCTTACAAAATAGTCAAGGGCATGTGCATTACAAATAAGAATAATGGGGTTGTCTCATATAAGGTCAAATAAAAGCACATGTAAAGTCACATCAAATTGATTTTTGCCAATATTCTATATTTCCAAGTTTTGATTAATATTTTGTTTTCCTTTATAAAATAACAAGAAATCCCTTATAAAGAATATGAAAAATGAATAAGTTGGGGTCTGGATTTTGATCCATTCACGGCTCTTCTGTCGGAAAATCCATGTGGAATTTCAAGAAATGGACAGAAGAACATGGGAATAATTGAATGAGACTCAGAATTCTTCAGGCTTTTTAAAGATAAAATTCATTAAAAAAATGATGTTTTTCTTACCCTAGTTGCAGTTTCACATGCGAGGCTGTTGCATATGCAGAAATTCTTGTATCTATATAAGATACAACTAATTTTGAGTTTTGCAGAGCCATTAACTGAAATAACCCCACTAATCTATCTTCTCATTGTTCTCCTCATTGAGAAAAATGACTAAAAATGTCATTTTACCAATTGTACTTATAATTGGAATCTCATGTTTTCTCATGAAGGCTAGTGCCATTACAACTTCTGGTTGGACTCAAGCTCATGCAACCTTCTATGGAGGCAGTGATGCTTCCGGGACAATGGGTATGAAACTTGGAAGATTTTTATTTTTCTCTTGTTAGATCTACTAGAAGATCGTTAAAAACGTGTTTTTTATAATTGTTTTGTTTTGTAACAGGTGGTGCTTGTGGATATGGGAATTTGTATTCAACTGGTTATGGGACTAGAACTGCAGCATTGAGCACTGCATTGTTCAATGATGGAGCAGCATGTGGGCAATGTTACAAGATTATGTGTGATTATAATGCTGATCCTAAATGGTGCATCAAGGGAACTTCTGTTACCGTTACTGCTACAAACTTTTGTCCTCCAAATTATGCTCTTCCCAGTGACAATGGAGGTTGGTGCAACCCACCACGCCAACATTTCGACATGGCTCAACCCTCTTGGGAAAAGATAGGCATTTATAGAGGTGGAATCGTGCCCGTCATCTACCAAAGGTCATAACTTTTCTCTCTTAATATATATTAAATATCTCTATCCAATCTTTTTCAGAAAGCTGCTACAGAGATAGGACGTGTCCCCGTATATTGACCCTGTTAATAAAGTCCCTATACATGGAGCTTTATTCTCTTTTTGAATCTCAACTTGACGACTGATATTCTATCTGTGATGCAGGGTTCCGTGCAAGAAACATGGCGGAGTTAGATTCACCATCAATGGAAGAAACTACTTTGAGCTTGTAATGATTAGTAATGTGGCAAATGCTGGATCTATTCAATCAGTGCAAATCAAGGGCTCGAAAACCAACTGGATGGCTATGTCTAGGAATTGGGGGGCTAATTGGCAATCCAATTCTTACCTCAATGGCCAATCTATATCCTTCAAGGTCACAACCACTGATGGTCAAACAAGAACTTTCCTAAACATTGTCCCATCAAATTGGGGTTTCGGCCAAACATTTTCAAGCCCTGCCCAATTCTAAGTAGATAATGGGCCGTTGAGTTTTATGTTTTGGGCTTTCTCAGTTGACAGGCTGCGGCGTGCTTACTCTTTTACACAAAGCAGCCCGCCAATGTTTTGGGCTATACAGTATTTCATTCGGGGCCTGATTTTAAGCCCACCAAAAATTTGGTTGGCACTGTGTATTTAGCCATTGTTTTCAACTGTACTGAAATATGTATATTTTCAAAATAAGAAGCAAGTCTTCTTTGCAGCTTCAGAAATTTGTTTCGAGTTTTTTTCTCTATGCCTTGTAATATAATAAGAAGAACGTGTTCACGGTTCATACACATTCTTTGCATTCTAAAAGAGGATGCTAATCAACAGACAAGTGCCATGTGAGGTCCATGTGGGTTGGATCGGATCTAAGGTTGAGTCGATTATAGATATTTGGATAAGTTCAGCTTGAGATAGACATGTAAAATTCAAAATTTTTTCTTATTTTTTAACTGCACATTTTACATCAATATACTATTCAAAAATGTATTTTTATGATAAAAATGGGGCTCAAACAATGGCTTAGTTTGGACATTTGAGCAACTTCCATTGGAAGGTTACAAACCAAACCTAAAAGATAAAAAGGTTGCAAATCTTTTAATCATTTTCCTTCAACTTTTAGTATTATTTGTGTGAATTTGGAAGTGACGAAGACATGTCTATACAAATACAGATCAATCCTCTCTAATAAGTCCATCCGACAAATTTAAAAATAATTTATAAAGAAGAATAGTGGTGAGCTCTACAAAATGTGTATATAACCCGTATTTGGTATAGTTAAAAAATTTGATAAAAATTTAAGTTAAAATCAATAATTAATTTTAATCATACATTTCATTAGAACCACAAAATTTATCAACTTTTCAATTATACATTTCATCAACATTTATTAAAATTTACTAATTAAAATTTGATTATTAACTACACTAAATAGGGGGCATAATAAAGAGTCGCAATTATGAATGTATGCTTAAAATATAAAAATTAATATTTGAGATTTGACTTCAATCAATAAATTAATTATAAATTTATATTCAAATGAAGGTTTAAACTTTCAGATGATATGATTTGTTGGAGAATTTAGTGCTTTAAATTACTAGATCTTTCATGTTAAATTATCGAGAAATATAAAATTAAAGCGGAAGCATATTTGAATCAGACATGGTTAATGCAATATGAATTTCGCGGTATGATTTTTCAAATCTACACGCAGTCTCCTTTTCCTCTCTATGATGGGATGCAGTAGAGAATGAATAATTCGTTTCGTGTGATCTGGGGACCATAACCTATTTATATGGGGATGCTCTTTGACCTAATTCGGCCCATCATAGAATTAGGACTTGGGCCTGGTCTCTACACATATGTAAACTCATACTTTAATTGAATACATTAAAGCCCAAAACTGAAACCTTATTAGATTACTTTAATTGGGCTCAACCGAATTCGATAGCCTATAATTTAACACACAATTATTTACACATACAAACCCATCTTTAATTAAAAATCCTTACAATCTCCCACTTGGGCTATATGTGTCACCTTATAATTGTGCATTAAAATAACCTTATGAGTACTCAGAATTTTGCTATCATTACCGAATGTATCCCCAAACAATCCCGTCCATCAATCATATCAACATAGGATCAAAGCGGCTTTCGCTACTTTCACGTAGCTAAACCAATCAATGGTCACGTATATCAATATAATCGAATGACACGGATTAAGCATGAATGTGTAGCATGGAAATTACATGTAATGTGATCTGTAACATGCCTATTTTCAACTGGTCCACCTTAATACCTTAGTGAGATCGTTTTAAACAAGTTCAGAGATAATTAACCAAATAACTTTATAACTGAAAATAACTTTAACTTTAAACCGTATCCAAAATAACAGTACATGTGTCCAATATGAAAAGCAAAAATGCAAACTCCCACTGAAACTAGATATCCTCAAGAGACATTACACCCATATGAGCAGTGTGCTCATGAAAGACCTTGGGTATCAATCCCTTAGTAAGCGGATCCGCAACCATGGAGTTTGTCCCAATATGCTCTATTGACACCTGTCCACTCTGAACTCTTGCTAGGAACTTGATCTCTATATGTTTTGACTTCGTCGAGCTCCTGTTATTATTGGAATACGGCACTGCTGATTTATTGTCACAAAATATCTTTAGTGGTCTTTCTATATTGTCCACAATGCACAGCCTAATGACAAACTTACGCAGCCATATTCCATAATTTGATGTCTCATAACACGTTATAAACTCCGCTACCATGGTAGAAGTAGCTATGAGTGTTTGCTTAGCACTCTTCCAGGAAATAGTACCTCCAGCAAGCAGGTAAATATAGCCTGAAGTGGATCTCTTACTATCTTGGCATCCCGCGAAATTGAAATCATAATAACCGATGATCTCCAACTAATCCGATCTCCTGTACGTGAGCATGTAGCCTTTTGTTCTCTGTAAATACCGCATGACCCGTTTGGCTGCTTTCCAATGATCCATTCCCGGGTTATTTAAATATCTCCCTAGCATCCCAACGATGTACGCTATATCCGGACAAGTACAAACCTGAGCATATATGAGACTCCCTATAGTTGAGGAATAAGGAATCTTCTGCATTTCTTTAATTTTCAAGTCATTTTTAGGGCACTGATTTAAGCTAAACATTTTTAGGGCACCGATTTAAGTTGAACTTGTCTCCTTTAACTATAGGGGTGTCACTAGGTTTACAATCTTGCATGTCATATCTTTTAAGAACATTTTCGATATAACACTTTTGTGATAATCCAAAAATACCCCGAGAACGATCTCAGTATATCTGAATTCCTAATACAAAAGAGGCGTTATCAAGATCTTTCATCTCAAAATTCTTCGCTAGAAATCTCTTCATTTCGTGCAATAAGCCTATATCGTTGCTGACAAGCAATAAGTCATCGACATATAAAACCAGAAAAATATATTTGCTCCCACTGAACTTGTGGTATGTACAATCATCGATCAAATTCATCTTGAAACCAAATGAGATGATCACTTGATGAAACTTGTAATACCATTGACAAGACGTTTGTTTGAGTCCATAAATGGATTTCTTTAATTTACAAATCATTTGCTTTACATCATCCAATACAAAGTTTTCTGATTGTACCATATAAATTGTTTCATCAATGTCACCATTGAAAAATGCTATCTTAACATCCATCTGATGTAACTCAAGATCGAAATGCACTATCAATGCCATTGTAGTCTTGAAATAGTCTTTCGAAGAAATCGAAGAGAAAGTCTCTTTATAATTGATAACTTCGTTCTGTGTAAAGTCTTTTGCGACAAGACGAGCCTTATACCTCTCTACATCACCTTTCGAATCCCTCTTGGTCTTAAATATCCATTTACAAACCAATGGATTTCACACATTCAGGCAATGGAACGAGGTCCCATACGTCATTGTCCTTCATGGACTTTATCTCTTCATTTATGGCATCAAGCCACTTTTGAGAGTTAGAACTTTCCATGGCTTGACGGAAGTTGATCGGATCATCTTCCACCATTC